TAAGTTATGACTGCCATATTACATATAAATACTATTGGGAAAGTTATAGTAAAATATACAGAAATTTACTCATGTGCTTTCATATAATTATTATTATTTTAATAACTTCTGCACCTTTATTCTCCTTTGTTCTTGGTGTTTCCACTCTCAGTTATCTGTAGATAACGTTTCTCACAGACAAAGCATCCAGATCCTGGGAGTGGTTAGGAAAGGCATTAATCTGATTCTGAAGAATGAGGAAGGAAGGAGATCTGCTCGTTTAGTACAGTTTTCTTTTTTTTTTAAAGATTTATTTTTTTTATTGTTTTTTCATTGGAAAGGCGGATATACAGAGAGGAAGATCCTCTGTCCAATGATTCACTCCCCAAGTGAGCGCAATGGGCCGATACTATGCCGGTCCGAAACCAGGAGCCTCTTCCGGGTCTCCCACGCGGGTGCAGGTTCCCAAAGCTTTGGGCCGTCCTTGACCTCTTTCCCGGGCCACAGGCAGGGAGCTGGAAGGGAAGCGGGGCTGCCGGCATTAGAACCGGCGGCCATATGGGATCCCGGGCGTGCAAGGCGAGGACCTTTAACCACTTGCGCCACGGCGCGCCGGGCCCAACAGTTTTCAACCAGTTCCATGTCCTGTACCATGCTGTGACTCATCCATAGGCTTCATGTCTCAAACCTTTCTGGTAGTACACAGAAAAAAAAAAAAAAAAACAAACCTGAGTTCAACACTGCACCCAGATGTAAACTCTTGCACGTAAGATCCCTTTTACGTATGAAGTCAAGGACCTCCACACTATTTTCTTTCACAAGTTAACACATGTTGACATTTTTAAACTTACTCTTGTTACTTTTCCTTTGTTCTTAGTATTTATAATTTTTTAAAATTTTATTTTTTATTAGAAAGGCAGAATTGCAGAGAGGGAAGGAGAGACAGAAAGAGAGTGAGAGAGATAGTCCATATGCTGATTCATTGCCTAAAAGGCCACCATGGCTGGAGCTGGCGGCTCTTAGGCTGGGATCCATGAGTTTCCTTTGGGTCTCCCACATAGGGTCACAGGCTTAAGAACTTGACCCATTCTCTGCTGCTTTCCCAGGCTATCAGCAGGGAGCAGGATTGGGAGTGAAGCAGCTGTTACAGGAACCAGTACCCATAGGATTGCCAGCGCTGCAGGAACATGCTTAACCTGCTACTCTGCTGTGCTAGCTGCAGGATTTATAACACTGTAAAATACTGCTGCTTTAATATCTCCATTGGGAGCAGAGAGGAGCTCAATTTGCCTTGTGTGACTAAATGTCTAAACTGATGTACCACATATTATAACATAGCTTTATAAATGCAAAACAGGAGAAATATGTAAGAGACTAATATGCTGTATCTCTTGTGTATGAAATTTAGATTTTTCATCAGGCAACATTTATCTCTCAGGTTTTCCACTACCAATCTTTTATTAATTATACTCTTTAGCTAATGTTTTTCATCAACTAGAGAAAATTAGGGACCTGGTCAAATTTTTCTTTTGAACTCCATAGACCTGTGCATCCAATTGCCTTCCAGGCTTTTCCACCAGGAAGTCCCACTGACAACTCAAAGTAGTCCAGTGTGCTGCATCTACATCCCGACTGGGTCCCAGCCTGCATCTCTTCTCTTGTATTCTTTGCTATCTGAACAAATCATACTACTGTCCATCTAGTGTTGAGAGTCAGGCAATTGGCACTTACCCTTGTCTCTTCTCTGTCAGTTGCTATACCCCCTTCACTTAATCCTCCTTGGGTTCAGGCAATCTATAATTCTTCCTATCCATTTACCGCCCAGGTATTATTCAGTTCATTTTCCTATTCTCTCTGCTGCTACATTTTCAACCCTCTCCAATTCTTAATTTCCAGTATCAATTTCCTCTGACTTTTTCATAATATTTAGATGCTTCCCATTTGATCCATTTTGCACAATGGAGCCAGAGTGAACTTTCTAAGATAAAAGTTTAACTTTTTGTTTAGAATTCTATAGTTCTACAGTGTTCTTAGAATAAAATTCAAATTCCACTTGTGACCAAGTGTCCCACCTAACCTTTTAACATTTTTCCTTGTGATAATCTGTACAATAGCCCTTTAAAATTCCTTTATTGTGCCATATACTTTTTCGTCCCTCAAAATGAACATGCATATTTTTCCCTTTGTTTCTGAAACATTGTCCGTCTTTTCTGTAGCTTCCATCACTACTCAAGTGGTAGTTGCGTTATTTCCTACTAAATCTTCAAGATAAAGCTTAGTGGTCCTAGTCTCTGGGATTATTTCCCTGAAGCTCCCACATGTGGGGCTTAGTATTTCTGCCATGTGCTTTTGTTAATTCTCTGCTTACTAATTGTAAGGTTTATTATCTTGTATTAGGTCTCTAAGAGTACACTTCCATCAGCTGGTTTATTCTCAACATGCCCTAGATAGACAGTTGTCTGAGACCCATGCAGGAGGTTGGTGGCTCAGTTTAGGACTTAGTCTGTATGGCAGGGTCGTAATAACTTGGGCCATCACCACTGACTCCCAGGGTGCACATTAGCTGGAAGCTGCAGTCAGGAGCCAGAGCTAGGGGAGGAACTCTGGCAGCTGTTGGTGGACACAGGCTTCTTAACTGGTAATCCCAGTGTTTGCTGTCTGTAAATTCTTTGGGGATAGGGATAGGTTTCTTTCTTTTTTTTTTTTTTTTTCCTGTTTTGTCTCTGTATCACTACCAGCGTTTCTGGTGTTTGTTAAATAGATTTATAAAATGACATCATGCCTGGTTCGGTAACATGCTCTGATACTTCACTCTTTCCTTCCTGGTTTCCTACCCCTGTGCTTTCCTCCAGTGTTCAAATTACTGCATTATTCTTTACTTTTGATTTGCTTTCTAGCCTTGTACCTTATTCTCTGTATCTGGGCTCTTTGTCACACCTCAGAATCAGCTGGTGTACTTCATGTGAGTTCTGTTGTACTTTAAAGTAAAGCTTTAAAGAGTTCATGGGAAAATGGAATTAAAAGACACTATGCATTTTCACAGGCTTTTGAAGTAGCCTTACACACTCATTAATCACAGTACTTATTAAACATCTATTGACGTTAGATCTAGTGCCTATTCTGGAGATAAAGCATAACCAAAATTGACTTATTTTATATTTTTTTTCAGAGGTAATACTTGAGATGGAATATATGGTGACAGGTAACTTGTCTCTAGTTTTATACATTCACAGAAAGAATTGTGTCCCTGGAACTGTACTTAATGTTGTAAACTGAAGGCCATTTTCCTTACCTGGACCTGGCTTAGACAAGTGTGATTTTGGATTTTGAACTGATGTTACGTTAGGATACAAAAATAGGATATTTTAATAGGGATATTTTAGGGGACTGAATGTGTTTTGCAAGTGAGACCGTTATGAATCATTGGGAGTCAGATGGTGTACTGGGCAGGACAGCTTCATTTGGCCCTGACTTTTACTTACTTCTGATGTTCATACTCTTATGCAAGTATAATCCGCTGCACTTAGATGTCAGTGCACCTGTGACTTTTTCTCAGACCAACAGAATATGGAATAGCTAATGTAATTCTATTCTTATTATTTTATCTTATATAAAACCTTGCCTTGCTAGCAGATTTAGTCTAGAGATGTTCCCTGTTGCTGCCCGTGTTAGGATGCACATGTGGTAAAGAAACTGAGGACAGTTTCTAGGTGACATTCAGCAAGAGCTGGTGCCCTTGGTCTTTGAGTTTCAAGGAAATTAATTCTTCCAACAACTGAAGTAAACTTGAACACATGAGCTCATCTCTAGTGAGGCCTCGTGGTATGACCCCCGCTACTGGCTGCCGGCTTTAATTGCAGAAATTGGGAGTAAGCCCACCTGAAATCCTGACCTATAGCCACTGTAAAATAATGAATGTGGGTTAGGTTGCTGGATTTGCTTTACAGCAATTGAAAATTAGTACAAGAACCATATAACAAGCAAGCAAATAAATATACATTTGCACAAAGTTAGAAGATATTAAATTATGCGAATAGGATAGTGTTATAAAAACTAGCCCAAAACAGAGGTTACTATATAGGAACAATCAAGACAGTCCCTCTTGTAATATTCTATTGACAGAAGCATAAATAAATAAATAAATAAATACATAAGTACATAAATAAGAAGCTCACAATCATGAGCTGGAGTAGAAAGTAGAAGGACATTTTAGCAGAGAGAATATTTGATTGAGATAGGAAACAGCCTGACATGTTGAAGGAACAGAAACAAGGCATTTTGTGTGCATAAAGGAAAATGGTGGGGCCAGTAGGTGGAGTTTTGAGCCAAATAATAAAGAATTTGCATTTCATCTATAATGCCTAAGGGAGTCTTTGAAGGATTCTTGGCAAGGAAGTGACAAGATTTACCCTCTAGCTATTCTGTGAAGAATGGCTTCCTGTTGGGGAATAGTATAAGGTTTGAACAAAAGAGACATGTGTATTCATGTAGGATACCACTGCAGATGAGAAATGCTCATGACGCGGATGGGTGTGGACATGGTTGTGTCTGGGAGAACAGGCTTGTCAGCAGGAGGAGTAAGACCCTTCCTGACTGGTCTCCTGGTTATCTGTGTTTGGCTCTCAGTTCTTCTAGTGAGTTTCCTTTTCTCTGTACTGAGTTTCTGCACATTTCTTGATACTAATTCTCCTGGAACTGGAAGAGATCTTTCAGAATGTGTTTACCACCATTTTGTACGCAGTATTCTTTACCTATGTCCTCTCCCTGTGCACTCTCAAGTTCCTCAGACCTGCTATCCCTGTCTTTTCATTTGAGTCCCAAACTGACACTAAAAAAAAAAAAGGAAAAAGACACCAGATGAATGAAACAAGAGAAAAAGTCCTCTTGTGACACATTATTTTACTAAAAATTAATATTCAAATGATTTTTTTTTCTGGAATTGTCAGTTTTGCTGGTATTCTGACCCCTTTTCTTGTGACATATTTTGAACATCTGTATTCATTATGTTCAATAAAAAGCAGGAGAGAGAACAGCTTCTGTGCCAAAACAAGGATGGGGAAAAGCCCTGTAATCGACTACATTTACATTCCTTGAGAGAACACATTTGCAATTGAGCCTGGCCTGTAGAACATGAGGAATGAAAAGAATAAACAACTCACTGATGCACAGCTACAAGGACTATTTTTGTTTCTCATTTTGTTGAGGACATTTCAGAGCTTCTGAAGAATGAATATAAACCAACATGGGGTGAGTATCCTTGCAAATCAGATAATAGCATTTCTTTAAGTCCAAAAACACATTGTTAACAGTATCTTTAACTTGTTTAATTTTGTTTGAAATATTACTAAAAATTCCTCTACTTCTGTTTTTTATGTTAAATTTCACAGCTCACGGCACTTAGCCTTCATGAAGTAGGAATTGGGTCGTGGCTTTCTGGGAGCGCTTGGACAGGATCCTTCAAACCCTCCAGTCACAGTACTCCAGGCTCTGCCCGATAGCTTCAGCCTAATTTGCTAGGCCCTTCAGCATCTATTCTCTCTCCATTTTCAGGTTTATTTATTTTTATTGGAAAGTCAGATATACAGAAAAGAAGAGAGACAGAGAGAAGATCTTCGTTGCAACAATTCACTCCTCAAGTAGCCGCAATGGCCGGAGCTGAGCCAATCCAAAGCCAGGAGCCAGGATCCAGGAGCTTCTTCCTGGTCTCCCACGTGGGTGCAGGGTCCCAAGGCTTTGGGCCAAGCCATCCTTGACTACTTTCAAGAGGCTACAGGCAGGGAGTCAGATGGGAAGCGAGGCACTGAGACATGCATAGGCATTCATATGGGATCCTGGCGATTTCAAGGCGAGGACTTTAGCCATTAGGCTACCATGCTGGGCCCAGCATCTATACTTTTGCCTGGTCTCTGGAATCTGCTAATGCTGTAATACTCATTAAGTAATACTCATTACTTGTCACCTAGCATTTTGTTTAAAATGCAGATTGTGATTTAGAATATCTGGAGAAAAGTCAGACTGTGCTTTGCTAACTACCCCTCTGGCTGTGCTGATACTACTGGTTGAGTAAGGATAAGTCTAATTTTAGTTCTGACAGTACTCTACAATACCTTCTCCATCTTCATGGGATGACCCTTCCCACCAAATCCGATCTCCTTCTGTAAAGACTCTCTTTCTCCTTGAAACAGTGAGGATAACTTACTATCCCAATGGTCTTCCCATGTACTTCAGATAAGAATGCAAAGTCTTTGCTAGGCTTGTCAGGAAACTGTATTAATCAGGCTTGTTTGTAGTGATAGTGAAAATACCTGAGGCTAACTACCACATAAAGAAAACAGGTTTATTTTGGCTCATGGTCCTGGATGTGCAAGGTGGAGAAGCCACATCTCATGACGCCTTCTTGCTAGTAGTGTCCAAAGGGTGGGAGCAGGAAGTGCATGTGTCTAGTCTCTCTAACCCTCTTCTTATGGTCACCAGGAGTCAGTCATGGGGTTCTGCTGTATGATGCATCCAATGTTAACCACTCCTCCAAAGGCGTCACAGTTTAATTAAGTGCCCTCCCTCTTAATACTTCACAATGGGAATTCAATTTCAGCATAGGAAACCTGGGGCGACACGCAGACCATAGCCAGACCTTGGCAGTTGCTTCTCCAACAACTGTTCTATCACTTTTCTCAAACTCACTCTATCACTATGGGCTACTTGTAGTTCCTGTGTGTTACCATGCTTCAGTCTTTGAGACTTTAAAAAAAAATGCCCTTCTCATTCCACTGTGGTATGGCTAGAGTAGGTAAATTGCCCAAAACTTTTGAAGTATCAAAGTAGCTATAGCAGAAGCTGTTGCTGCCCATTGGCCTGAAAAGGCAAGAGAAGATAACATTTTGTGGGAGCTGGGAGAGAGTTTGTGGCCATAGTAGTGTTTTTCTATGATGATGACTATGATCATGAAACATAAGCAGTAGAGTGGGAAACTAGGGAGGCAGCAATGTCCAGCCAATATATTTTTTTCAGGTCATAAACGTGCATATATATGGCAGAAAGCACAATGGAAGACAGATCATGGATTTGGTGATTGAAACGAGGGACCACAGAAAACAACCATCTCACAGATTTGTTGTTCTAACTTGTGAATGCTTTCCCATAATGCCTAGTTTATCTGAATGACATCATCTGCGCTGACCCTCATTCTGAAAGACTCAGCAGAAGCAGAAGTCACAAAACTGAATTTACAACTATGGCAATGATGAGGAGATTCTAAGAACCCTTTTTTTTTATTGGCATATTTTTGTAGCCAGAAGAAATACATATGTGGATTATAGAAAACATTGAGACCAACTAGTACGGAAATAGCCTAGAGGATATTAATGAAAATCAGGAAGAACAAAGTACGTATTATGAAGAGAGTTTCAAACCTTTGAATATTTTAGGTGGCATGATCAAGAAATTTCTAGAAGGTAAAGTGGGAACTTCTTGATTGCTGTGATTTGGTCATTATTCTTTTTTGGCTAATATATTTTCTCTCTATTTCTCTTTCTTTTGGCTGTTTGGCTAATACATTGTTGCATGATTACTCTTTTTCTTTCGATATCCTCACTATTTATCTTACCTTTCTCTTCAGTTGTTATGCCTGTTAATTTCTAGGTTGTGTTTCCCATAAATTTTTAAAATTTTTTTCAGAGGTCACTATTGACAAAGAAAAAATGATTCTCTTTTTTCAGAGATCACTATTGACAAAATTATGTTTTCAGAGATTGCTATTGACAAAGAAAATCTGAATTATTTTTTTAAGAGTCCATGGTGTATACCACCTCTGTCATTGAGTTATACTTTGGCCACTATATATGAGCTAAATAGTTTTATTCATTTTTGTTTTTCATTCCAAGAAGTTGATTTATTGCAAAGAGCTAAAAAATTTTTAAAATATTTTGGTTAAACGTTCCACATGGAAAGTGAATTAAAATGGTATTCCTTGAAATATGTAGGATAGTTTTTAACCAATAAACATACTATTTAAGAATCAGATTTGACAATATATTTTTAAAGATTTATTTATTTTTATTGGAAAGTCAGATATACAGAGAGGAGGAGAGACAGAGAGAAAGATCTTCCATCTGTTGTTTCACTTGCCAAGCAAGTGTTGCGCTGTGTTGTGCTGATTTGAAGTCAGGAGCCTGGAGCCTCCTTCAGGTTTCCAAGTAGGTGCAGGGTCCCAAGGTTTGGGCCGTCTTCTACTGCTTTCCCAGGTCACAAGCAGGGAGCTGGACAGGAAACAGGACAGTTGGGACACAAACTGGCACCTGTGTGGGATCCTGGCGTGTGCAAGGCTTTAGCTGCTAGGCTTCTGCACCTGGCCCAGATTTGATAATATTTTAATTAAACATCATATCATTTGAATACAACAAAAACAAGTTTGGATTATTTAACCTTTGGGAGTAATACTGATATTATCAAATCTTATGAAGTGTATTAGCTCTGTTATTAGTAATATGGCTTCTGTTTTTAATCTGTACTCAAATTCTATAATCTACATTTTCTGCGTTATTATTCCATGTACTTCCTGGTTAAGTCTTTCTTCATTGGCTTATATAATGACTGAGTTATATTAGTGATTACTACCTTAATTTATTTATGAAAATTTGCAACATTGTATAGCACTTGAAAAGGTTGATTGTTTGGAATTGTGTGTCAATTCTGTCTTCCTTTCAATGTTTAAGGAGAGGCACTCATCTGGATCATTTCCATCAGCCTGGAGCCTGAACTTCCCAGTGTTGCATATAAGCGATCATTGGATTTGTGTTTCGTTCTGGTAGAGATGTCCTACTAATGGATTTTTGCCGGTGGCTGATGATATTCATTGAGCAATATTAGGAATCAGTTAAATGATCCCCTTTTACCTCATAAAAGTGGATGATTTCATAAATGTACAAGTTATTTTAAAGGAAACATATTTTATCATTAATATTTAGTCAAGCTTAAGTCTATATTCAATCTGTTCTTGATTTGACTTTTTTTTTAGGAAAGGAGATGCAATGATTTCACCAGGTACAACAGCTACAGTTTGATTCAGGTCAATTCATTAGGTGCAATGGGCAGTCTTAATTGCTTGACACATGTTTCAGTTTCTATTACTTGAGGATGGTTAAGACCATGGGAATTATTTTCTTTTTTCCTAAAAGAATGCTATACTCTCATGACATATTAGTAGATAAGCCAGAGAATAAAAAGAAATAGTTTGGGGAAGCTATACTTTCACCATGGTGGGATATTTTTATTTGTAGATTTCAAATATAATGGATTTTCCATGATAAATTCTGACTTTTTTCTCTTAACTATGTGTGTCAAGAAACTCTCCAAGAATTTGAACACTTCAGTTTAATATTATTCGGGTTTTCCTATTGCATCACAGGTACATGAGCCTCATTAGAAAAACTGCTACAGAATTTTTGCCTGTTAACTTTTGATTCAGATTAAATAATATTTGCCACATTTGCAAAGTGCATTCAAACTAAATTAATACTCTCACATCATTGAGTTTTGATTGGATTATATTGAAGTGTAAGGATCACAGGAAGCATATCATATGACTAGAATAATTAATTCAGCAACAGCATATAACAGAATATTTCCAATATATTGTCCAGTTCATAGAACATTTTATAACATAAGCTACTTGATTGCCTGTAATAGTCTCTCGCTCCAGCCATTCTTTGTGTTTTTATCACACACTGTCATTCCTCTTCTTTAGAAATGTTCGTTTATTTATTCATTCAAGCAGTAAGCATCTATTAAACACCTGCTGTGCGTTAGACACCAAGATGAATTCATGGGATCCAAAAAAACACATAGAACAAATTTCCTGTTTTCCAGTGTTTTCATAAATCAGTGCGAGACACACATGGGTAATAAATCATTAGACAATGGAACAAGTACTGCACTGTTCCAATCAAACACTATCAGTCAAAAGCGGAGGATGTACTTAGCTCCCTGGAGATATTGGACAAGATCCCCTGGAAGAGAACATTTTAATTGAAATTTTAGGAATATATGATAACTGCTATGATGCCAAAGGGGAAGATAATGTTAATAAATGTCAAGAAAAAAAGTTTTTTTTCCTCACTGCATAATTTCTCAGATTTTTCCAACAAATGGGCCTTTTGTAGTCTAACGTAAGTGCTGTTGCTGCACAAAAATCCACCATTTGTTATGTAAGTTTTTACTGTGCAATATAGTTGCTACTTTTAATTTTCGTGTTATATGTACTTAAGCAAAGCCATACTTAACCTGTTATTTGACCCAATCTCTCCCTCATGTCATGCAGTCCCTTTCAAGCCATTCTTACAACTTTATATCTCCTTTGAGCCTGTCTCTTTGAGGTCATGTTTGTATTCAAGGTAAGTAGCCTCTAATTAGTATCTTGGGAAGTAGCATAACTTTGGTCCAAGTTTTGATGATAGACTTGGAAATATATTTTCTTCCTCACAAAGTGGGTACAATAAAACTTTCCTTCTACAGTACTTATGGAGAGGAAATGAAAAAGTACAGTTGAACATTTTGTGTCTATGCAGATTTGGAATCACCTGGAAGTAATAGGAAATACAGGCAAATAATCTTTGTATATATAAAAATGCATAGGAGAGTAGATAGAGATGATTTCAAAATGAAAGATGCAAATAGTCAATAATATGCAATACAATGAAAGAACAAATCATTTTTCCTTAAATATGTTGACTATTTCTATAACCTAGGGATGAATGAGTGGATGTGGATAAGAAATTAATTGGAATTTTCACAGATAAGTTATTTGGGGCAAAAATGTTTGTGCAAAATGAGATGGACATACACTTTTTGCAGCTCTAGTGTTAAATGATTGTCAAGAACTAAAGCATTCCAGTGTATACTTTTTCCAATACCGACCATAATCCAATTTTCTTGTCACTACCATTTCATGCCTTTGATCACCGAGGCACAGAATGTGGGAGTGGCTTGTTCATGGTTATACATTCTGAATATTGTTACTTGGGTTAAGTTCTCTTCAAAACAGTTTGCACCTACAACTACTTGAGTGCCCACAGTAGTCAGCAAAAAGAGGTTGATTTTTCAGTAAATAAGAATCGGGGTTAGGAAATTTCAGTTGCAGCTTACTAAAGTCTCAATCTATGAGCCTCACAGTATATCAATCACTATAATACAAGCAAACCACACAAGTTCTTTGATACAAAAGATAAACTGTATTTAAAGTTGAGCATGCTGCTTTGTTAAAGATAATGAGATGGTGAAATGGATTTCTATTTTTTATAGAAATGATATTAGCCAGTGCTGTGATGCAATACAATACAGCCACCTGCAAAACTTATATCTGATCGGAAACAGATTTGAGTCCCAGCTGTTCCATTTCTGGTCTGTGATGCAATGGGTTGCACTCCCACCCGTGCCGCTGGCATCCTTATGAGCACAGGTTGGAGTCCCAGCTGTTCTATTTCTGACCCAGCTCCCTACTAATGCACCTGGGAAAACAACATAAGGCAACCCACATACTTGGACTGCTGCCACATTTGTGGGAGGTCCTGATGAAGTTCTGGACACCTGCATTGGCCTGGGCCATTTCTAGCCAATGTGGCTATTTCAGGAGTGGATCAGTAGATCTTGTTCTGTCTCTCCCTTTCTTTCTGTGGCTCTGTCTTTCAAACAAATACCCAAATCTTTAAAACATTATATTAATTTTACCAAAACAATGGCCCAATTAATTCCTGCATACAATTACTTTTTTGGTAGAATTCTTGTCTTTCTGTAAAAAGATTTATTTGATTTTATTGGAAAGGCAGATATGCAGAGAGAAAAAGAGACAGAGAGAAAGATCTTGCTCTGCTGATCCACTCCCCAAATGGCTGCAATGCCCAGAGCTGAGCTAATCTGAAGCCAGGAGCCAGAAGCTTTTTCAGGGTCTCACATGGGTGCAGGGTCCCAAGAGCTGTCCATGACTGCTTTCCCAGGCCATAAGCAGGGAGCTGGATTCCATTGACAACTTCTAGTGAATGAGGCTTGGGCACAAATAAAGCTCTGTATCCTTGTTTCATGGACAAAAATTAGTTGTTTCCTAATCAATATAGTCTACCTACCAGGAACTCTTTTGGGTCTCATTTTCATCTCTACAAAGTATGGCCTTTGTAACATTCCAGACATTACCATCACAGCTCCATATCATATTTCTGGATGTGGAACAAGTGAGTGGAGACACATTGTTTTAAGTGAGAAGAAAGGCTGATTTGTTTAGAGGTGACAAAAGTGGAGATAGGCACGCAAACGTTATTTCCCTTTTATTAATTTATTTGAATGTTGGAATTGCACAGGGAAATAGAGAGGGAGAGAAGAAGAAGAAGAAGAGAAGAAGAAGGAAAGAGAGAGAGAGAGAGAAACTGTTCTATCTCTTGGTTATAAATCAGAT